ATAGGCTATAGGTTTACCTTACTGCCGTCAAAGGCAGACAAATTTTAATTAATGAAAAATGAAAAAGAATAAGTAATACAAATGCGACGATATAATGCGTGCTATGAATGAATTAAATCAACGTCTCAAGTGCACCTTCTATACGATGCCATTTTAATTTTTGCTGCTCAATTTGCAACAGTACACAATTTCTGACACAGAGCCAAGAGTATCTAAAAGTATATAGCTAGTCGTAGGAACATTTTGACCATGAGCATGGCCCGCAGTTTATTCTGCGACATCATATATCATTTATTTTCATCATATATCTTTCATTTCTTATCCCTGGCTTAGAGTAAGTTTGGTGTAGGCAAAGTAGAGTTCGGACCATATGATCACAATTTCCGGTGGCTACTTTCTAGACAACATGCCATTGCCATTGTATCCGAAATTATATGGCAAATTGCTGCAAAAGTTGCCTCTTGTAACATAGCCTTATATCGAATTAATGAAATTATGAAACAGGCCTGTAAAAACGAAAAAGAATTGCGGTGCCAAAGTTAGTCATTTTAGTCGGCTATTAGTTTGTTCGGAATCATAAGCCTTGGTATATTTATTCAGAACTAATAATAATAATAATAATAATGGTTTAATAAGGCATTTCCACATAACATGGCTATTCATCCAACTATTAAGACTCTATTATATATATATATATATATATATATATATATATATATATATATATATATATATATATATATATATATATATATATATATATATATATATATACACTGGATCCAGAAAAGTTTGACCCTCGAATATATATATATGTCGGCCATTTTGAATTTTCTTGGGTTAATTATACGCGAACGCATACATCAAATGTCGCTCGCAACGTACTGTATATTGCAATATTCCAACAGCTCAAAAAAGTAAAGGATCATTGCTTGAAGTTCTTACACATATTTGTAGTAGCTATCTAATGAACATTTGAGGGTTGTTAGCTAATTAATTCTTGTCACAATTTGGAACCTGATCTTTTTGGCATGTCGTAATTTATTCTTTTGCATCCTTAGAGATTTAGACGCTTATTAGCATGCCTCGATGAATTTCTTTGTTTATTCTTTCGTATTCACTTGTGCTTATTTTATAGCTGTAACCTACGTCCAGAATTATTATATTTTGCCAACGGAAATTTTAACGGAATCGATAGTCATTCGATATTTCATCCCCTGAAACTC